AGCACAAGGTAGAATTTGCATGAATAAAATACCGGTCTGTGTGACATACTCATAAACTTGATGATTCTATTCTATATATAGGTAATAAACTAACTCCAGCTGTGGAGGAAGATCAAGGTAAAGTAACATTGGACTTGTTTGTACATGTATGATACTAACATTGATCATGTGTTACCTTTTTTTTAATAGAACATCCATCTCTATCTCCTCAGACTCCTGAACCTGGTAAGCTTGGAATTAATTGGTTGCTATCAATAAATACCACCAATTTTACTCTAACTTTATTTCAAATCTTTATAGTTAATCAACCTGATATGTCGGATATTCCTCCTCCTCCAGCGCCACCACATGGTAAGGTGGAAACGATTGATTCCTCTATATGCGTATGCTTCAATTATACTAATTACTTTATCCAAAACATAGGTGAAATTCCTCCGCCGCCACCACTGCCTCCTCGTAAGTACAGAAAAGATGCCAAAAGTAAAATAATAGATGATGGCTATTAACCCATCATATTGCTTTTTCATAGTATCTGGAACAATGTCCGGTACTCCTCCTCCACCACCACCACCTCGTAAGTGCTATAAAGCCAACAGTTTTGTGGATGTGGATTTAACTGAATTGAACTAATGTCTTCTGTTTTTTTTTTTTTTAATAGTTCCTGGTATGACTGGAACACTTCCACCTCCTCCACCTCCACCTCCTCTTCGTAAGTGAAAATAGCATAATGATGTAACAAAGTGTACCGAAGATCATCAAACTCACATTTGGTTATGTATAGCTCCAGGAAGTGTTGGTATTCCTCCACCTCCACCTCGTAAGTGGAAATAACATTATAGCACTAATAATTGTATTAATAATATCTTCTTCTAAATAGTCCCAGGAAGCACTGGTATTCCTCCTCCTCCTCCTCCACCACCTCGTAAGTAAGGAACTGATTATTAGACGGAACTAACTAACTTTCCTCTTTGATTTTTGTCACGTATAGTTCCTGGAGGATCCGGTATACCTCCACCTCCTCCTCCTCGTAAGTAGAAATCATAAATGTCAACAATATTGATTATGTACTAATGCCTCTTTTTTTTTTTTTTTTTTTTTTTTTTTTTTTTTTTTTTTTTTTTAGTTCCTGGCGGTCCTGGCATTCCTCCACCTCCACCTCCTCGTAAGCAGAAAACATAAATGTAAACAATACTATCGATTATGTATTAATGCCCCTCTTTTTTTAGTTCCTGGTGGTCCTGGCATTCCTCCTCCTCCTCCACCTCGTAAGCAGAAAACATAAATGTAAACAATATGGATCATATATTAATTTTCTGCTTCTAGCTCCTGGTGGTCCGGGCATCCCTCCACCACCACCATTTCCAGGTAAAATCTCCCCAAAACAAGTAACTCCATTGCATAGACTCACCCTCTCTCTGCTCTTTTTTTTTTTTCCACCATGATAGGTGCACCTGGCCTACCTAATATACCTGTTGCCCCGAAAGGTCCATTACGAAAGGAACTCCGACACTACCCTGAAATCAAGCTCAAGAATCTACAATGGCAGAAATTGGACGCTCGTAATGTGGAAAAAACTATATGGATGTCAAAATCGGTGGATGAAGATGCCCTGGAAGATGCTTTAGATGAAAATGGGGTCTTTGTCAAGATTCAAGATCTATTCCCTGCCAAGGTCAACACCTTCTTTGAACGACGACTGGCCAAGAAGACAGATGAAAAGAAAGATGCTGTCCGGTTTTTGAACAAGGAAAAAGGAAGGAGCATTAGTAAGTAATCACCTCTCTTTTTTACTCATCTTAATATTGTCCCCACGAATTACTCGAATTACTAACTTGATTTTAATAGGTATTGCTGTATTGCCAAAAGTCAATAAATTCGCCAACTTGGATGAAGCAAAACAACGTATCATGGCCATAGATGAAGAACTTTGCACTGAAACCTTCCTTAGTAACCTAATCACTTATATGCCCGACAAACAAGATGATCTCAAGATTATGGATAAGTATCTCAAGGCTACTCCTGAAGAATGCGAAGAATTGGCGGAACCTGATCTCTTTACTGTGGTGGTAATATGAATAAGATGGGGGGGGGTAAACAGTATAAAGTACTTATTTGTTTTATGCTCTATGTAGATGATGCGAATGTACCGATATGAACAAAGAATCCAATTTATGCTCTTCCGGGTGCAATTCTGGGAAAAATATGACCAACTAACAAAGGTATATTCTCTCAAACAAATACTCTTTTGCTAACCCCTTTGAATAGAATATGACTATAGTGCTAGATTTATCTGATGCTTTACGGAACTCGTCTAGCTTCAAGGAACTACTTTGCGTAAGTACACTATAAAACACGAGCTGTGCAAACGAATTGCATTCCAAAACTAACATATCTTTTTTTCATTAGGTCATTCTCTTGCTTGGTAATTATATGAATGCATCAAGCTTACAAGGTGGTGCATTTGGTATGCGTATATCAAGTATAAACAAGGTGATGCGGAATTAGGAAGAATTATCGCTCTGAAATTCTCAAGAAGTGTTTACTAACCTTTTTTTTTTTTTTTTTTTTTTTTTTTTTTTTTTTTTTTACCTTTGTTTTGTAGCTGGTAGACACAAGGGCATCCAATGTATCTTCCTTGACACTTTTACATGTTCTGGCCGGTATTGTGCGGCGCCACTTCCCTCACATACTCCAATTTGTCGAAGATCTCAAGAATGCTCCTCAAGCAGCCCGAGGTAAATCAACTGATAGGGGTAGATGGTACTAATATAACTTTTTTTTGATTCTTTATATTTTAGTGATGGCCAGTGTCAACGATATGGTCCAACAATATACCGAAATGCGACAAGGTCTAAAACAATTGGCTTTGGAATTGGGAACCAAATGGCAGCCTGAAGATGTTGAATTGGAAGAAGGTGATCGATTCCTCAAGGTGATGACGGAACATAATGAAGCAGCCAACGATCGGTTTGAAGACCTGGAAACACTTTATGTCAACATGGATGCTAAATGGAAGGATGTGATGGTGTTTTATGGCGAAAACCCCAAGGTGATGCGACCAGACGACTTCTTCAACACTATTGCTCAATTTGTGGTCTCTTGGAAGGATGCTGGCGCTGCCGAAGAAAAACTCAGTCAGAAGATGGAACGCGAAGAAAAACGAAAACAAGAGGAACTGGAACGCAAAGAACGACAACTCAAGAAAAAGGAGGCGGAAATGGCGGCGGCAGAAGCAAAGATCACTCCTTCACAACGTGTAACTGGTATCGATATCAGTGAAGGTAAGAGGAGGAAAACATATATCTTTGTGGTCTTTGGGGGCTCTTAATTACTAATGTCTATGATTTTACTTAGATGCAAACACTGGTACTGAAGCCGATCGTAATATGATGGATGATCTGTTGGCCAAGTTACGGGTTGGTGATGGTGAAGTCCGTACTACTCGACAAAAACGAAGCAACAAGGAAAATCGGCGACGAACTGAAAGCAACGCTGCCAATGACGATGATACATTGTCTGCTGAAGCTTTACTCAAGTCTTTACAAACTACAGAATAAAACCATCTACTGTGTATCTATTGGGTTTAATATTATGATCAGACCTGTTGATTTCTCTTCTCTAATTCTCTCTCTCTATTCCTTATCCTTTCCCCTACAATTATAGCCCTTTATCATCTATTATTACTCTCATTTGTTATATATATTGTATTAATAAAGTAAATACCACTTTTTACACTTCTACATGGAATAAATGTAAAACTCACCATGTAGTACATATATAATACGACATTGGATAATTTGTCTTATTTGAAAATGATCAAATCACTTGCTGGTATTTACTTGAAATGGGCGAACATCTGGTAATTCATGCATTTTGAAATCCCGAATGTGTGGTTTCAAATCCCGATTGTTTTTTCCCTTTTTGACCATGATGCGGCACATTGACAATTGAAGCCCTGATCCAACTATTGATGCCGTATGATTGATATTGTACTGTGCATAACCCTTCTATTTAAACCAAAACCAAAATCACATCAGTCTCCACCTCCCCCCCTTTTTTTTTTCCATGGCACAAGTCTTAAAACCAAAACACTTTTCACATATTATATCAAGCAAGTAGATTTTTATTAATCAACAAAGTTAATAATAACAAAAGTTTTATACTATAAAATGGCTATTACTTGTGGGTAATATGTGTTTGTAGATCATCAAGTAGGTTTTGAGTTGTCCAGTAGTGTTGATTAATCATTCCTTGTGATTTGTCGAATGAGATTCACTGTTAATATCTAATTCATGTCATTGATATCTTGATACTTATCATTCCATATGATTGCTATTACATCCAGAGTATCAATAAACTGAATTTGGCATAATGGTGGATTTAATTTTGGCCGTTTCTGTTTCCTAATCATCAAGTTCAAAGTAGACTTACACGCCCTGTTTGTGCTGACTTGAGATGGTAGGGAATGGTATATTGCTTTGACTTGGCAAGGAAGATTCCACAAAAGTCCAAAAAAAAAAAAAAAAAAATTGTTGTTGTCCTCGTATTCGTAAGTTTGTCGTTTGTTACATAACCAAGTGATGATTCCTAAAAAGTTCCATGAGAAAAAAAAAAAAAAAAGATTGCAAGTAGAGGTTCTTCAAGTTTTCATTCCTTTACGTATTACGTTCATATCTTCATAATGTTTTCTTTTGTTGTAGAAGCACACTATTGTTTCTTTAGCGGCACGACAATTCCATACTTCAGAATCCAGGAGTTGGTTAACGCCTATCGCATGCTAACAAATCCCCCCCCCAAAAAAAAAAGAGAATAAAAGTAAGAGTTTACTACAAAGAAATTTCTTTTCAAATACCCGACCTCTATTTTACCTTTCTAAATGTCACCAATTCGTCCAAAGATGTTAAAGTTGTAAAAAGAAGAGAAAAGAGAAGTTAAAATACGCAAAGCGGTATTTAAAAACAGGTAAAAAAATTACCCGGAAGTGCAGCCCAAAAATATAATGTCACTTGCAGGATTCGAACCTGCGACCTCATGCGTGTGAAGCATGCGTGATAACCGACTACACCAAAGTGACTACTGATGAAGACAAAATTTTAAAGTAATATATAAAGCACAACGTCGGAGTCTCAAAAAAAATGACGTCATACATGTTCTCCAGGTCATGTACCGTTCGATACTGCCAAGTCACACGATCTATTAACAATAAGTGGTAAACTAATGCTAGTATATAGTAAATGACAGGTTGAATTATGAGTTTCTAGTTCATAAATGAGATAAAATGAATTGCATGAATTTGTCAGAGCAAAAAAAAAAAAAAGTACCTGCGTCTGAAAAATCATACTGTGACGTCGAGTCGAGCTTTGAAAAAAAAAATGTTTTCGGAGGATGGGCCTTGTTCCTCACCCCTCTCTTCCTTTCTCTTTTTTTTTTTTTTACCACACAAAAATGATGGCCTCTACTGTGCGTGCTGCTGCTAAGCAATTGGACTGGACTAAGTTATCATCTTCTCTTCCTCAAGAAACTGTCGCCTCTTTACAAGCCTTCCGTAAACGTAATGAAGAAGTCAAGCGTGTGTTGAACGAATTACAAGCTCAACCTACCTCTGTGGACTTTGCTCACTATCGTAAGGTGTTGAAGAACCAATCTGTGATTGATTCTGCTGAAAAGGCTGTTCAAGGATTCAAACCTGTTGCTTATAACCTTGATGCTCAACTCAAGGCTATTGATCAATTCGAAACCAAGGCCGTAAGTAGTAAATAGTAAAAAAAAGGGGGGGTAGTGACAAGTGCAATACCATTGTGTGTTTGCATCCAGTTGGGTAGGGGTATAACAAAGGAAACATATCACTAATTACCTTTTACTTTTGAATAGGTTGCTAAAGCCAAGACCACTGTCCAACAAATTGATGTCGAACTCAAGGATCTTCACGCCACTCTCAGCAACATTGAAGGTTCTCGACCTATCGAGCAACTCACCGTAAGTAATCCCCCTCCCCAATACACAAGGAATGGTATGACTTGATTCACTGACCTATTCTTCTTTTTCTTCCTTTGTTTTATATATACTAGGTTGACGATATCATTGCTGCCAAGCCCGAAATCAACAAGAACGTCGAAGATATGGTCCAAAAGGGTCAATACACCATCCCCGGTTACAAGGAAAAGTTCGGCGATATGTCTTACTTCTAATTGTAGTCTCTTACTGGCGCTGCCCCTTCTTCACCAGGATGGGTCCTGTCATTCCTTACTTTAGATTAGATTTGATAGGTCATTGTATCACTACATTATAAATAAAAATCAACACACACACACACACAGACTCCTCAGTTTGTATTTTTTAATAGTAATGGGTGGGTGTCTTTTTTTTTTTTTTTTTTTTTTTTTTTTTTTGTTTGTCTTATTTAGGTCATGTATATTTGGAAGATACTATAGACAGATGGTTTATAATTGATTTTTTATTGATTAGTATAAAAATAATGATAATCTAGACTATATAAAGAGGAGGGTTGGTTATCATACAACGTGTCTATGGAAACAATTGTTGCATTGATCTTTTTTGAACAAGTTGACACTAAAATCATCACATCCACAATCTTGACAATCCACCACTTGTTTCGTCAAAGTAATTGGTTGGGTACTGATTCTTGATGATGGTGGAGGAGACGGTGGAGATCGTGTAGCTAGTCGTGATATATTTGAGGATGATTTTGACAATGGAGAGGATGTTGGTGTTGATGGTAATCCCAAAAATGGTGATGGTGATGATATAGGTGGTGATCTAGATTGAGAGATTGGATTGGATTTGATAGATGCAAAGACATTGGATGCTGCTGCAGGGGATGGCAAGTTGTCATCAAAGGGTGATCCTGTAAGTTGGTGCTGATGCTGACTGATCCCCTCTTCACACTGGTTGATGTGAGTATCATTGTTGGTCATCATATGCGGTCGATTCGGTATTGGAGGAGATCGAGTCATTGTTGTTGTCACATCTTCCGTATAGTCGACTGGGAATATACCTCGTCGCCTGATTCCATCTTGATTGATTTCCCCCATCCACCATCCTTCGTCCACAGGTTCCACCACCGTAATCAAATCACCAACATTAAATGAGAGTTCATCTTGTGCTTGTCCTTCAAATTCAAAGATCGCCTTTCGAGTCTTCCTTGGGGCTGGACTTGGGCTTGCTATAAAATGACAAGGTGAAAATGGTTAATTATTACAATGATATGTTGGCCTACTTACATTTCCTTCTTGGTACTGTTGGAGGAGGAGACCGATTCCGTGAGGCTGATAGTTGTCCTTGATCAGTACTATTACAACTTGATAAAGAGGAGTAACTTGGTTTACGACTACCAGGAAGGTATTGATTGGATTTCAGGGCGGCGACAGATGAGGAAAGCAGACCACCATTACCACTTTTAGATGTTGAAGAAGAGTGAGAAGAACTGTTGGTGGAGGACCGAGTGAGAGGAGGGATACCTGATCGATTGGAGCGATTGATACCAAGAGTAGGCATATGAACACGTAGTTCATTGATTAAATCCACCGACTTCTGATGATAAGCCAATTGGAATTCCATTAATTGAGACAATGCATTACAATGATCCATCTACATACACGTAAAGATAAGTTAGTTAATTATTAATTGATCATCCCTAGTTAATTACTTACTTCATAGTCGTGCAAAGTGACCATCTTTTCAATAACGAGTTGTTCGCACTCTTCATACTTTATTTTAGATGCTTGCAATTCTTGTTCCCATTCTGGTTTCTCCTTTTTCGACTTGTTGATCCGACATAGTTTTGAATCATAATCCAACCGTCTTGATTCCAATTTCTTCTTTAGTGTATAATAGTCCTTGTAGTGTTGTAATCCTTGTTCTAGTATATTAATGTATTCAGTCTTGACATTATTTGCAAATTCGTCTTGAAGTAGAGCAATCTGCGCCTCTGTTTGACCAAAGTTAATCAAGGCAACCCCTAAATCATATCAAGTTAAAATGAGATGCAGTTTTTTAAAAAGTATTTCTTTTTTAATTACCTAAAGCAGATTCATCATTGTAATCAGCACCATGATTAATCCAACAGCTTGATAGATTTTCCAATGGAGTGCACTTTGTTTTCGCATCTTCAGGTGAAGGTTTCTTTTTAGACAGTTGACCATATACTTGTTCAGTTGCTTCATGCACCTTTTCAAATCCCGCCCGCTTGTTTTCAGTATCCGTTTCGAGTTGTTGGAAGTTTTCTGTTTGTAGAGTCATCCTGGCTGAACCCAACCTTTCACCAGTCCACTATATATAAAAAAAAAAACAGAAGAAGATTTGGTTGGTATATCAACAAGGTTTATTTTGTTCAATGTTCAAAAAGGTTGTGCCTATAACAGCACCAAAGCAAATACGAAGAATGGAAAAAGAGGCAAACAGTACATGACAAACATACAATGACTATCACCTGTTATACATGTTTCATCTAGTTTACTACTCTTTTTACCCTTTGCTTTGTATTTGTCTGGTTGTCTTTGTGCAATGACTTGATTGTTTGAGCTACCCCCTTTTTTATGTTGTGCGTAATTGGTTTACCTGTTTGAATTTATCAAAGTTCTTGAGCATAGATTGATAACAGAGAGAAGTATTATAATAAGTAAAAGGGTTTGTCAAGTTGTATATGTATTAATATAAAGAGAGATAGAAAAAAGAAAGAAAGAGAAAGAAAGAAATAATGAAATCAAAAAATTATAGAAAAGGAGAGTGGATGCGAATTCAAACGCCGTCAGTTCTTTTTGACCACTTTCTCCTCTCTCTATTCTTTTCTTCTTCCTTCTTCTTTGCACATCGTTATACAGAATACACTCTTCTTCTCAACAGTTATATCTACTATACAACTATATATTCCTCCAAAGATGCAAGTCATTTGGTCTTCATTGCTTTTACATGTTACTAACCATTCTTTATAATAGCTTGATCGAAAAATGAACACCTTGCAACCAATCTTTGTGTCAGTAATCTGACGCTCCTACGAAAACAAAACAGCAATACAGTAATCCACATTCTTCCTGATTCTACACTTGGTATCTTGTAATTCAACCTGTAAGATAGGTTGAAGGGTTGTAATACAATGGGCGACTGTTGTACACATCCGTAACTGATACTGACTCCTTACTCTTTAAGGCAGAAGTTGAACACTCGGTCAATCTCTACATGACAAGGGTATCTTTTTATAAGCAGGTAAACCCATTTTATAGCATCTTCTCTTGAATATAACTAACATCAAATTATTGCATTTTGACAGATTTCCTATTTAGTTATCCTCAGGGTAAAACATCTCTGGGTGAACATTGGTTATGTGATCTTTTTTGTGGCAACTTGGGACAGGGCGCGGTGCAGCTTTCTCTCTAGTAGATTTGGTAAGTGTAAAAAAGAGATCTCCTTACTGTGCCTAACTTTATATTCTTTTTGTATAAGTACTCGGCGACACTAGCCAATTTTGACAAATGATAATCACCGTATAGTTTTCTGGTGACTTTGAAGGATGAAACCATATAAATGACACTCCTTTTATGCGACGGCAAAGAAAAGCGGCAAACGGCAAGCGTGCCGTGATCGGATGACTAATCCATTTGGTACCCTTCTTTTTTTTTTTTTTTTTTTTTTTTTTTTTGGTATCAAAAGGCTTCCATCACATCATCAAGTTTACTCTCATACAATGGAAGGTCGATTGCATTTGCGGTAAAGACCATTAGGCTGATGTTATTCTCTTTAAACTAGACCCATCCTCTTTTACTAGTGTTTTTAGATCTTATATTTGGGTAGCTATATATAATGTTTAACAATATAATAAAAAATCTAGTTTTTAAATAAAATCCTTACCTTTAATATTTGATGTGGGGTAAAGTTTCATCTTAATCGAGGCTGAAATATTCTCCCGGAGGTGGTTACTTGTCAGCAAAATCTCACCGCACGTGGGTGTGGGGAAATGGCGGGATTTGAATTATTTCTTAAAAAACAGAAAAAAAAAGAGTTCTAGTCTTCGTTCTTCTCATTCCTTCCACTTTTGTATCGATTCCCTTCTTCATACTT